AGTCCGGTCCACCTGATAACTCACTTACATAAAAGCTTGAGCCTATACTACCTAGATCCAGCTCGAAAAAAATTTTGCAGGCCTAGTCCGACGCGGTCCACCGACACCCCTACATGGATAAGTGGCGTTTTATAGGCATGTGTGGCTGCCAATCTCTCACTCCTTATCAATGTGAGATTTGCATCTTCACCTAAAAAAGCATTGAAATGCCTTATAAGGGTTCTTCTTTAATTATACACCGTATTGTTTTTATGTAGAATTCAAAAGTTAAATTAATAGTTACCAAAATTTAAATAAGTTATATCATATATTTATATGTAAAATTTTGCTTTTTAATATATATATATATATATATATATATATATATATAATACAGCACTTTCATGACACTTCCGCTCTATGAATTTTTCGCTTTCGTGCTCCCTTTCTCATTCTATGTGATTTAGGTCCTCTCCCTTAATTAATAATGATAATGATAGATAATTATCAAAGTTAAAAGTTATGGTAGAATATATTTTAATTGCCACAACTCAACTCACAATCTACTGAATTCATTTATTATAGGTCTTTCTTCACTTCTTTTGTAATCACCTTTTAAATTATGTAAATTCTCAAAACTTACACACCGATTATAACCATTCTTCGAATCCTCCAACTCTAAACTATCACAAATCTTAACTATAATCATCCCCACGTTTATACGTATACTACAGATAGTAGCTAGTCCAGGGTAAAACCACATGGCTACCTTGCATAAAATTTTTATAATTTTTTCTAGTCAAAATCAACATGAAGGGTCACAGTACCGTATTTTCTTATTTTAATAATGAGAACATGACACATTGTTGGTCTTCACAAAAAGTTTTTCTTGTAATCGACAGACGATTGTAGGATGTTGGGTTTCACTTCTTTATTTCAGAACTACCTTGGATGATTACAATCGACGGATTCAAAGAAAGTAAAATGATAATTAAGAGATTAATAAAAGAAAAATATTTTTATTAATTTTGAAAGATTTTTGGATTACAATAGACTGATAAAACAGCTTCTGAAACTAATTCTATTCTAAAACTACTCCTAGAAATGCCCGAGTTGTGGGTCTTTGATGGGTTGGATTGTGGCTTCTTTTTTTTTTTATTTTTGAGGGGGGTGGGAGGAGACATTTTCTCTAAAACCAGCCCCAATCTTAAGTTAAGAGACTTTGACTCCAGGCTTCAATTAAATCTTGCATTCAACTAAACTAAGCCAACCAACCACAAGAAAGAAACACAGGCTCGTTTCTGGTTAGCAGCTTGTCCTTTTTTCCTATTTTGATCAATGATCTAATGCAACCTTCATGTCATTGTGCGCGTGACACCTAGCTCCAAACTCTATATGATTTAGTAGGTAGGGGCGGATGTAGCAAAGTGGATCAAGGCAGTGGATTGTGTGAATCCACCACAGGCGGGTTCAATACCCGTAAGAGAGGCACACATAGGGAAAGAAAGGAAAACCTTAGCTCGTATAGAACTACCCTTATCAAACTACAATATGGGAAGGAAATCAAACTACACATTAATAAATGGTCCCTTTGTTATGGAGAAACAAGACAAACCTAGAAAGAATTCATGCGCCTAGTGAAAATGAAGGCATCCATGCTGGGCAGATTAGACATAGTTTGAGGAGAGAATATTAACTTCAAGCTCAAATACCCATCAGGGAAAGTTTTCAAGATCCCATGAGCTTAAAGAATTTGAACCACAGTGTTGCAACATATGGTGAAACGCCAGCTTTATAGGCAAGCAGGTTGTCATTTAAGGAGACTTTCTATGGACAGGTTTGGCAGTTCACAACCATGTATATATCTATTGGCCTACATATTTGAACAAAAGTTTTAGAAGGCCAAGAGTAAGGAGGGCAATACTCAGTTATAGGCTTCCCAGTAAAGTCCAAGTAAAACAATAATTAAAAACAAATAAAAAGAATGATAGTGTATGCCGTTTTTTACATAAAAAGTCATGAAGAAAAAATCCTTCCTGTCTAAAAAGTTCTGGTGTACCAAGTACAATTTATGCATACGCTGTTTCTCTTCACTCCTTCCTGTCTCGGGGTTGGGGGTTGGGACAGTTATATGAAATCACTGTTGAAGGAATTTGGCAAAGGGATCCCACATCCCATGCCCTGCCCTGTTGTCATCCCACCCTTCGTACGCTTCAATGAGATTTACATTTAAGAACATTGATAGTTACAAAGAATATCTTGACAAAGATTTTTCTTAGATATTGCACCTCTTTCGTCTATCAGGTTAGGAGACTAATTTAACCAAATTGAGTTTTCTAATTTTGACAAAACTTTACTTCATGTTCGGATGTCGAATTCAAAAATATGATATATGTTTCCTATACGGAATTTCATCCTCCAAGCACTGATTAAGGAGTAACATTCTCTACATCGCAATGATCCTTAGTATTTGTCACTGTCTTCCATATTGTTCGAAAATGAGAATTGATATATGACCTATTTGAAGTTGTGCACATGATGCATAATTATTTTCGTCTCAAAGGAGTAGCTGCTAATCTACCTCATGGATAGATAGATAAATGTTGAGATTTTTGCGATTATTTTTTAACAAGGGTTGCTAAATATCAAAAGCTTATTACACATAATTCTATTTCTTAGAACAGGTTGAAGGAATATGCATTATTGGCAGAGAAGACGCAGTAAATTGGGATTTCTTTAAATATTTCGTATCTTTCCCAAAAGAATGGGGAGAAAATGCTTACCATCAATGGACTCACATATCCGTCGGATTGATATGAAGCTAACTTTCTTGTTAGAATAAATTAGGCATTTCCAAGGAATGTTGGAATTCAATTCCATTGTGCTAATTTGAAAAGACCCTAATTTAATGTAGAAAATATAGCATTTAGATATTATATCACAGCCCTAGGGTAAGAACAAAATGCAGGTTCCTGTGTCGTAATAATCACAAGGGGACTCTTTATATTTGGTCAAGACTAGATAGAGTTTTCGCAATCAGCATATGTTATCCATCATTTCTGACATACAAGTGGAGTAATTCCCATGACCCAAATCATATCAATGCCCACTCTTGACAAAAATTGGCTTTAAAAGAGCCGCCTTCCGTCACAATCACCCATGACCACTCAACGAAACTGACAAAATAAAGACATGGAGGTAGGAGGGAGACTGAAGAGAAAAAGAAGAGTGGCAATAACAATGAGAAGGGCTTAGAGAGAAATTGCCAGGGAAAAGCATAGAAATGGGCGGTAACAGTCAAACATAAGTTTATGCAATAGATTCCTCAAATTGTAGAGACAAGATTCTTTATACAAAGTAAACCAAAAGATCCGAATCCTTTATTTTCCATTAGCCTAAGTTACCATTTTAAAGTAAGGGTCACATGATTTAAATATGAGTGTTAGGCATGTGACTGTTTGAAAGTCGAAGTTGCGGACAAGGAATAAAATTTTGTTGCGGAATATAGTTTGGGTCAACTTGGAAAAACAGAGAAAAAGTTTGACAATATTTTTCCAAAACGCTTCAAAACATTAGCTAAAATACCTCGATACATCCTAAACCACCTTGCAATATCGTGAAACACCATGAAACATAGGAATTTCGCTATTTAATCATTAATTCGTTTCGATCAGTAGGTCACCTGGAACAGTCCAAGTGCGCAATAAGTGATCCAAGCGACGAAGCAAGCTAGGTGAGTGCTTGAGTGAAGCGATCCAGTCTGTTCTTCGGACACAACGACGGTATTTTCTCCCCCCCCCCCCCCCCCCCCCCCCCCCCCCCCCCCCCTCCCTCTTC